TTAGTACAAACAAACTTGGGTACAAGGAATTCAGGTTCGTTCAAATAAAGGTTAGTTAAAAATGTTCTGTTATGAATATACCGGTATTCATCCATGTCAACACTGAGCTCTTCTAAAAACTTGATTTGCCAGGTGTCAAATACATCTTTTATACAGATTTTATAAAAAAAATATCTGATATATAGTCAGTGATTTCATGTTTGAATCGTCAAGAATAAAGATTGAAATATATATAGCATGACCAAAATTCGAACATGTACTTCAACAATTCAAATTCATGCACTTTTTTTTACCTTCCCCTAATATCTGGGTACACAAATGAGTTTCTTTTCCTTTTCTGAAAGGTCAGATTTCATCATCATATATTCATTTCATACATTCACATGTAATTTATTGTTAATGAATTTGTACATAAAATTTTTCTAGTGACACATACCTTTCCAGCATTTTTTCGAAAGAAATAACCTTTTTCTTCTCTTGGCTGATTCTTGGAAAGAAAAAAGATCAATATCATAAATGCATGAATTTGAAAAAAAAAATGATGAATGGTTATAGTCACCGTAGAAAACATGCATTATGTGAAATCATATCACTGGACTACCTCTGCTGGTCCCTCTTGGACTGCCTTTTGTCTTTCAACCCAATTTATTTTACAAAGTCTGCAACGAAAACTTTCAGAATCCTCCAAATTTTTCAGATCGTCTTCAATGCAAAAACTTCGAAAATGAAAGGATCTTTGACATTCCTTACATTTGATCTACAAAAAAGAGTGAAGTTACCTGTATCTGTTATTTATTCTCAGAGACCCTTCTCTTATGCTATATGTAAATTACAGTAAAACCTTTCTGGACAAAAGCAAATATCCCTATTTGAGGCTGCATGATTATATTGAATCTTTGAAGACTGTTTTGAATTTATAATTTTGATAATCCTGACTATAGATTTTTTTTCAAGTGCTTAATAATTTTCAGAAACCTTCTTCTATTGTGACCTCACTATTACCCCTTATTCCTTCATTTATTGAACATATCTGAATTCTATCAATTGTAAACTTCTAAATGTCTTCCCTGTACAAATTCTTTTCCAGATTATTGATATGGATCTCCAGTGTTTTTCCGTCAGAAATTATGGGCCTGCCATGAATGTAACCATATTTCTGTAAATGTGTTTAACTTGCCATATATATATAGTCACAAACAATTTTTGTATCAAGTATTACTTTTAAATGGTTTTCCATATAAAAGTTAAAGCCCAAACAATAATACATAATTCCCCTCCTCAACTCCATTTGTTTGGGGTATGAATATATCTCCCCTTTGAAGCTAAATAAGGTTTTTTCATCATATGAGCCATTCAAGTAAGGAAGATTGGTTGAAACTTCCTTCAATACTTTAATAGATGGAATATACATTAATATGCCAACAAATTAATGATATAATATACCGGTACTGTATTGACACATTTTTACCAGTCTTTTCAGACCCAAGTGAGCTAAAGAATGTTGAAAATGAATTAAAGTGAAGCACTTGCAGAAAAAGGAAGTTGGATTGAAAACAGAATTCAACATTTATTTTATTCCATAAAGATTTTAAAGTTAAAAAGATATGGATATATGTACTCACAGATTCCTCATCTCCAATGTCGAAGCTACACTTTGGACAGCATTCTGTCAGATACACTGAAAAACAGTGATCAAAACAATTGAAACTCTGATTGATAAATGAATACCATATAATTTTTAGTGAGGATTTAATTTTGGCATAACTAGCAAGAGTGCTGGGATCGTTAAAATTGAATATCGCTAAAAATTGATTGCATTTTATTTGTTACAGCTTATTTAGAATTGCGAAAATTACATCTCGCTAAAACTAAAATACCAGTTTTTAAGGACAAATCGCTAAATTTATATAAAATTTTTAATTAAATTAAAGTAAATTTTAGTTCTTGCATATAATAGTAAAACTTTTGGATTATTTTGAGCAATAACCACAATTTGTGAAAATCTGTCTAATTAATAAAGTGTTCTTAATTAACTTCCGAGATTAAGGTGTTGCAAAAATTTGAATATTGATTTATCGATATACAACTCTTAAAATGATTCAAAATAAATAATAATACGCTGTATAATTTATCTGGTCTTATTTTTTTATATTCCCTAGAAAACAGTTGTTATTAAGAGTCAAAATCAGCAAGCATCGAGCATTGAATGGAAAGTCAAAATTTTATTTTTTCAAAAGCTTTTGGTATATGAAAGATTTTGTCCTACCTAATGCTAAAACACAATTAAAATTTTTTTTTGAACGTATGAAGGGACTGGTATCCAAGGAAATTCATTTCCTTAGCAACGGGCTCAAAAATCCTTATGAAAATCAATGATTTTTAGACATTTTTCTATGAATATTTTTTCTGAACGTGATAAGATGAGGTATTTTGGTTACTTTATTTGTTGAAAGGTGGAATTACTTTATTCTTAAAAAACAGGAAAAACAAAATTTCTGTACTGATATTGTTGCCATGACAACGGGAAAAGAACATGGCGTCAATGCTTATTAATTTTGAAAAAAGTTACATATGTTTATAACTATATACACAAAATCTACAACCACTGCTGGAAAAATGAACGTTGTGATCTTGTTACGGGTTATCTATATGTCATATCTATACAATAAAATTTGCAGGCAACTTTAGTAGAAAAAAGTTACAAATGGTTAAAATGTGTGATAATCTGGCATTTATAAGCTTTTTTGAAGGGATGGGGGTAATTTGAATACATGTACAGTGTCCATTATTTTGGTCATATTGGTTCTGATCAATGCATACTCATAATTTTACTATTGTTGATAAATAAATGCCCATTCAATTTCAAAAGGAATTTTATATTCCTCACAAACGAAACTTTGAAAAGGGGGGGGGGGGGGTAGTAATCACCTTGTTCACCGATCCATATGTATGTAAAATTTTGACTTGTCCATAACATTTCAATGAAGTGCCACTGAAAGTTCATACTTGATATTAAGATTGCTTGTGATCGAGAGATTGTCAAAAACTTGACTCAAGGTCATTTGAACAAGTTCAAGGTCATTGGTAGAAGAAAAGTGCAATCTTCGCCCATTCTGTAACATTCTAATGAAAAGACTTGGTTTCATCTCGGGAATTATTTTTGAACTGTAGGTTTGTCATGACCTTGACCAAAGTTCATTTGGACATGTTTGACCTTGACTCAAGGACATAGCTTTTTCAAGGTCACTGCAGTAAAAGTGTACTATATGAGTTTGTGCTCAACACAACGGTTTTACTACTTATGACTTGAGTATTTGTCATAGTCATTTTTGGTAAGTACATCTACACTAGCAAAATTTTAATAGGTTTCAAATTAATATTTGGACCTTTCTTGCAATAAAAAACATTTAATGCAATAGCAGGAGGGTTGGTATCATTTTATGAGCTTGCTCACAATAATTCTAGTTTATGAGAAAGAGTCACTATGACAGCTCACATAATTTTAAAGTTAAACCATGTCAATCAGGCATGTAGCATCAGGATGACATCCCCAACCAAACTTTTTTCTCAACATAACCTGATGTTTACCCCCACCCCCGAGTTTGGAGAATTTCCCCACTTTTTTTGCAGTTTTTTTAATGCCTACATGTACCCCACACCATGCACTGAAAAAAAAATAGTTGAAGTACTAAGAAGACTAGTAAATTTACTGTCCATACAATCACTACCTTAAAAGTAGTTTTACTGGGTATTGATTAGATTTACTAGATAAGATTAGTAAATCTAGAATTGATAAGTAACTTTCATTAGGTATTTAAGTATCTATACAACCCCCGCTCCACTTCTAACTATCTTAGACAGTAAACAGAAAGATTACTAATCACTACAAACGCTTTACGAGGCACACTAGTTAAAATCACAATGTATTTCTTTCAGTGTGCACTTTCAAAAACGATACCATGTCTGTCTTTGGTATTGAACCGATGATATATTCTCCTACTGTCCTAATTTAGAAACAATATTGCAGGACAGCTAAGACCTCAGTAGCTGCTGGTGCCTAAAAAAAATCTGGAAGGGCTAAATATGTATGAATGTCTAAATTTGAACTGACCCTAAAAGAAATTCATTAAAACCCTATTGGGCAATCTTTGAATGGCATATATCGAAATTTTTATTGTACTTATATTTAAAAACATTTTGAAAGCAATGTAGAAATCAGAAGAGAAGGAAAAATATGAATATTTTATATATACATGTGTAAGGCCACACCATTAAAAATTTTGTTCGTCGGACCCGCGCGCTCGTATCTAAACAAACCGATACAAATAATATTAATTTAAATTTCCCGCATCATAGGAATTCTGTGCTATTTTCTGTGTCATTTCTGTTTATTGTATTTTTAATCTGCTTACTCTGTAAATCAGAAAAATATAATTGTCCGCTCAAATTTTTTCACGCTCCGCCTAAAAAAAATGGCCAGAAAAAAGTAATATTATTATTATTATTATACCGCTTGCCCGCTTGTACTTTTTTTTAAATCAAATGTCCGACGAACAAGAAATTAAATTGGTGTGGCCTAATACCTAGAGATACAAAACATATAAATTTGAGGAACGTGTCGTCCGACTTTTAACTAGTTCATCATCATCATTATTTTTATTTCACTCACACCAACATCAGTGGTACATGAGGTACAATATATAAATTAGCGCTCTTTCTTTTTTCTCACAAAAACATTTTGTCAGTTTTGAAATTAATTAATCATTTAATATTGACCTTGTATTAATTATGATACTTCAAAATGCAGAATATAAAGATATGTTTCAGATTCTTCTACTATCTATTTATGAATCTGCATGCTAAAATTTGATAGTTATTAGATTTACATCAATAAAAAAAATGCTAACAGACAAACAAAGAATGTTACTTTTGGATTGAACATTTTTATTTGATCCACTTTCATGAATACACTGTACAATTTATGGATCTATTTTATGGATCCCCGAGTCTCTATCCACTATCCACTCACTTCCAGCATCAATGGTCTGTACTGTAATAATGTATTCTCATAATGATAATCTGAAAAAGTGATAAAATTAAAATGTAATAATATTATACAACTTACTTAGAACCATTTCTAGTTGAGCTTGAGCAATGATGATGAATGGAAAGCATGTTTATTGGAATCAATTAAATTCCAAGAGATCTCAATGGTTAATCATTTTATTTTAAAAAGTTAACGTTTTTACTAAATGTATTATTTACATGTTTTTCCTGTCTAATTCTATATCAGCTCATCCATTCTGTTTCTGCTTCTTTCCGAGTTTGGCTTCAAAGTGCCGAATTTCATTCTAAAAACAGAAGTATACAACACAAAATTGAGACCGTATTGATTTTAGATATTCTTTAAATTCAAAAAACTTGTAATAAAAAGGTCAATTGGTTCTAGGTTTTGTCAAAACTCTAGATTATGGTTTCCATTTCTTTCCAATACCCCCCCCCCCCCCAAGAGACAAAAAATGGAGTATAGATATTCTTTTCATAAATTTACGTGCTTTAAATCTAATGATGCTTATTATTGAACCTAGTTGGCTTAAATTAGTTCAGTGGTACCGGAGAAAATGTTAGCTGAATATGAATTTTCTTTTATAAGTAAACACTGGATGACATCAGCAAAATTTTTTTTTTAATTAATTATTCTACTGTGGTATATATACAATTCAGTTACCACTAGTCCACTACATAATACACTTGTCTGTATCACAATACTTCCAAGGTAATCCCCTTTCCTAAACTAAAATATATTAAGTACAGAGTTAACCCCCTGCCCCCCTTTTTTTTTACGGACGCCATAACAAACATAGGCGTAGTCACGGGGGGGGGGGGGGGGGGGGGGGACGGGGACACTAGCCCCCCCCCACTTTCAGATCTGGTGGGGCAAGAGTATGTCTGTGCCCCCCACTTTTTAATGAAGAACAAAATCACAGCTATTTTGAAATAATATTTAACCTCATTTTATGGCATTTTTTTTAAGTTCAACAACTGAGTAAGCATTTCTCTTGAAGTAATAGTTGTATTATGTAGTAATGTAATATAGTAATTAAATCGTCAAGACCTGTGCCGCCCCCCCCCCCACCTTTTTCCCAACATAAACTTTACTATAGGAAATGTTCATTGAAGGAATACTTGCCCCCCCCCCCCCCCCCGAAATTGGATATTCGGGTTTGTGGAACTTTCAATTTTTTTTTTTTTTTTTTTTTTTTTGCTTGTCAAAGAATTTCTGGAGTTGAGCCCCCCCCCCCCCCACTTTTAAGTTTGTGACTACGCCTCTGACAAAGGTCATTCCATTTTACAAATAATTCATTATAGTGTTGGTTTTCATAAATTCATAATTTTTTATGTAAAAAGCAGGTATTATCTTAAATGGTATATAAAGATATCGATTATTATATACAGAATTTTTATTTACCCGACCATCACTCAAGTTATAATCATTATAGCTGGTGAGTGACTTGGTTACACACATGCCGTGAATACAACAAATCAAAATTAAACTAAATTCAAATTAAACTTTATGATTTGGGATAAAGTTATGTAACTGATCATGACCAACTTTTTCACGTTAGGCCCGCAGAAACAATCGATATTGGGGAATTTAATTTCATTTTATCATATTATAGTTTAATATTGGCAATATTATGGGGGGGGGGCATACCCCCTCCTCCTGGTTCCTCATATAATGCATAATCTTTTCTTTTTAATTATAAAATACTAAAGTAATGCTAACATACCGGTATATACTAATAATCAATCAGAATTAAATTGAAATACATAAGCTACACCTGCCAAGTGTTACATATTTTACTGCATGGTATTATTATAATTTATGTTAAAGATTCTTCACTAACTGTTGTAATGGTAAATTGTAAAAATTTCAGTCACTCACCGTAATTAAGACTCATGAAAACGCCAAAACTGAGGCTCAGACTCAGACTGCTCCAAGTTAGTTCTTCTGTACACTGTTATTGAAAACAATGTAAGCAAACTACCGTTTATTCCTCCTATGTTAGAGAGCTATACCAAAGGGAGGTAATTTGAAGCAAAAGTGACAGAAAATTATGGATTTAAATCAGTTATCATATATAAATGCTTAAGTTGCCTGCAGATTTTTTTCTTGATTCTTCTAGAACAAATACTGTTTAATATATATTTTATGTTGATAAGCTTTAATGTGGTTGTAGATTTCTTATAGAGTACTTCAAATTTGCTGTTTTTTAAAGCAAAATTAACCTCCAAAAACTAGTTTTATTTATCAAAAGGTGAAAAGAATTTCAATAATCAACAGTTGTTAAAATAGAGTATTTTTATATAAATAAAATAATAATTAAAAAAGCTTTTATTAATGACTAGTGATAAAAAAATATTTGTTTAACCATAAATTCAAGTGTCATGATAAAGTACAAAACACGCTATTTGAAAGGCGCGTGGTTTCCATAGCAACAATGCGAAAAATTATTTTTGGCTTGCTTTTTTCTATTATACCCTTTGTTCTGAAAATTTATATTTGAGTTTTAACCAAATCTGTTTCTATGCCACTTTCCACATTTTTTAACTAAATGCTCGATGCTTGCTGATTTTGACTCTTAATAAACACAGTAAATTATGAGACTACAAATAATTTTATCATAATTATTTATCAAACTAAAGAAAAACAAAATAATAATAGAAATTTACATGTAACATGGGAAGTATTTATACAATTTATGATATGTTTTAAACTGTTTATTTGAAACCAAAATACATACTTCAGTAAGGTATTTTAAGCCAGCCCATTACATGTTTTCTTATGATCATGTTTAAAATAAATTTAATTTAGTGTAAATATTTTCTTTAATTGTATTTTTCTTTTACCTTCATAGAGCATCAAATGTTTTGCAACTGCTATTCTCATATCTTCTAAATCAGATTCACTGATGGTTTTCAGGTCTGCAAGCTTGTCTGTCAAATGCTTTTCTGCAAACTGAAAATTTTAAAGATCGACACATTGTTAGACATTCTATATATTGGATAAAACTCCCATCTTTATAATTAGATTTATGTTAAGGTACATAAATATCCTTTCTCATACCATATGTAATACTGATACACAATGTATAAAAATTGAAAAAAGTGATATTAAATTAATGCTGGTTTAAGTACATGTACGTTTACAAAAATACAATTCAAAAAAAAAATTAGACATGCATGAACTAAAGCAGACTGAATATTTATGGAAATAGTCTAAATACATACTATCAAACAGTACACTCCACAATTGAAAGAATCCTTTTGTCGAGCATGGGCAACATTTGTTACCCTCCATTCTTTTGGTGGAAGATAAGTACCAAGTGAATTTTGCAAATCCTCAACATACTTCCTATTTTTGAAAATTAACTAGAAAAAATAACTCTTACTCATGTCCCTCATACATTTCACAAAATTAAGTACACTGTACCTGTATTTGAAATCTCACAGGAGATTTGTATATAAATAAAGGCACAGGAATAATGAAAAATACCATTTTACCCAATATCAATTATATTCTTTAAAATATGTCATAATAGGAAAAGCTAATTAGTTATAATTTAAGAAAATTATATTGCAACCATTACCCTATTTCTAAACTTGTATAGCGAATTTGATCTATATATATCACATTATGCTACATGTATGTGAAAATGCATTACTGTTATGAGTTGTGTGATTTTGAATATGTTAGATTAAAGGAAAAAAAGAAGCAATTAATGAAGATTGTTCAAAGATTTTTAAAACCTCCAATTTCTCTCAATCTTTTTCATTTCCATTCCTGTTTCACCACATGGGTTGTAGAAGTACACCTTACCACTCTTCATTTCAACAACCTAATTTATAAACAGGTAAAAAAATCAGCAAGCAAATATAGCAGAATTTTAAATACAGGAAGCAGTTGATTAATAAAATGATTGCCGACTTAATTATGTTTCTTATATGTATACTCACCACTAATGTCCAGTGAGATGATCTATAGTATATTCCAAGGATTACATCAGCATATAATTCTTCAATCTACAATAATTAACAGCCTATTTAAAAAAAACAACAACAACCTTTCAGAGTACTCCCCACCTATTACTCATCAACCAGTACTGCACCTAAATTTCAGGGAATACCATGCAGCTACATTTTTTAGGCTATGGCCTTATCTAGCCTTATATGGTTGTATAATCATATGTCTATGACAGGTTTCAATCACTTTCAGGAAGAAGTATTAATTAGGTCTAGAAAACTGTAAACTGACATTCAAATAGAAATTCAGATAAAGTCTAAGAAACTGAAAAATTCACCCCATCCATATTTACACACATATTAAAATTCAAATTTAAAATTCAAGAGTTTTACTCATTTTCTTTTGTGAAATTAGTCTCAATTTAACAGAATTTAGAGATGCACCAGGCCTGGGATGGAGTTTCTCATAAGACCAGACTTCAAAAGTATTACGTATTGTTCATTTTTTTTTTCTGATATACAAAATTTATTTAATAGGTATATTTCCTCAAAATGATTTTATCTCAAAAGTAATGACTTGCAACATTTTTTTGTTTAGGGAAATAGACTTACTTCTTGCTTATTATTGCTGGAACCATCTCGTTGTCTTTTTGTAAAAGAACCTTCAGTTATGCTTGTCATCTTGCTCTGTACAAAGTTAACAACTTTCTTACCCAAATCATTTTGGGCCAAAGCCAATATAGAGATGTAGCTGTCCATTACCTAGAAAAATTTCATTTTGATATAATGACCTTGATAATTTAACAGGCTATAATCTGAGTTACTTACAGTATTTTCAATATTTGTACACTGATATTACTTATGTCTTACACATTGTTCATTCTGAATAACAATTTTAAAATGAACAAACAAATCCATTACACATTATAAAATTTTTATCAAGTATTGATTGCACTTATGCACTAGACTAGCTGTTGCAAAATTTTTAACTAACATATGAAAGCCCTGCTTTCGCTTTAATTCTAAGGTGTATCCGATTCACAATCCTTCTGTCATCAGGAGTGTCTTTACGGTATACTTCATAGACATGCTTTTCAGGGTCGATACGCCTTAACACAACATACTCATGTTCGCTCCACGCATCCTGAATTTTATTCCTGCCAGTCACACGATTACGGAGTAACACTACAGTTCCTGGTTCGAGTCCATCTGAATCTCTGGGTGTCTTCACCATTCTCTCTCTAGCTTGTGCTGCTCTCTCCAGTTGCTCCCCTGCTTTTCTGTATGCCTCCTTTAGACGTTCGACATGTTGCTCGACAAAGTCAGTGACTGGGACGAGAGACTCATCTTCCTCTAGGTTCAGTATGGTATCTATAGGTAACTTTGGGTGTCTTCCCATCATCAGGTAGAATGGACTAAATCCAGTTGAGGCATGAATGGTGGAATTGTACCAGAAGAGAAGCTCCGGAAGGTGGTCAGGCCATCTCCGTTTCTGCTTTGGGGTGAGTGTTCTTAACAAATCATGCAAGGTCCGATTAAAGCGCTCGCATTGCCCATTCCCCTCTGGGTGGTATGCGGTTGTGCGACTCTTCTTTATCTGGTAAATCTTGCACAGCTCTGAGATAATTTGTCCCTCAAAGTTTCTACCTTGGTCAGAATGTAAGCGTTTGGGTATCCCGTATCTCATAAACCATTCTCTGACTAAAACTTTCGCGTTGTGCTGGCGGTCTGATCTCTGGTGGGTATTGCCACAGTAAACTTAGAAAATACGTCCGTCATAACCAAGACATTTTCACGACCGTCTGATGCTTTCTCCAGAATAGTAAAGTCCATAGCCACAATCTGATTGGGCTCACTTGCTAACAGGTGATCCATGGGAAGGCTGACCTTTGGCTGCGGCAATTTCGAAATACAGCTACGTTCACAAGTCTTACAGAATTTTGTGATGTCACTGTACATACCAGTCCAGTAGAATCTAGCACGAATCAGTCCTATTGTCCTTTCGATCCCTTGATGGCCTGCTTGAGTATGTAGCGCATCCATCACTTGTTCTTGAAGACAAGTCGGCAGTACAAGTTGCTTTAACTCTCCAGCCTGCGGATCTTTGACTATACGGTACAGGACTTGATTCTTATCTAAAATCATCCGGTCTCTTTGACGGAGCATCTGTATAACTAGTTTGCTTTCAGCTGAGCGTTCCTTCTTGTTTGGTTGCCTACCACTAGTGTCAGTAATATAGGAATCTTCCCAGGATTTGATCATTCTGTTGCATGTGTGACACATCACTTCCGTCGTACTTCGGGAATGAAATGGAATTGGAACAAGTTGCATCTGAGTATCCTTTTTCTTGGATGCTGGAGATGGTTGACTTAAGGATTTCCATCCCTAATGGGACCTAATTCTCTACCCTTAAATGTCAGTCAATTACATAATACACTGATATTATATTAAAACATTTTATAGTGGAAAAGGATTGCCCGCTAGAAAGTTTTAAAAATGTCATTAATTACACAGTAGTTAATTAACAAAGATTGCATTGAAGTCTATGGGGAAAAACGTTTTTTCAAAATAAAAATTCAAATAATTTGAATATTAATAAATACTGCGGTGGAAAGATGCATTGAAACATTAAAATTAGAATGGCAATTGAAAACAATTTTTTTACCGGCTAAATTTTTTTAGATTGATTTTTTTTATTAATTAAAATAAGGGGATATAACTCTCACCAAAACTCAAGGTCATAAATTAGGACACATCCCACTATACATACTAATATTAATAAATGGGAAATATGTCTAAATAAACTGAGTATTCAGTGCCTACATATCAGTTATATATGTATTTAATTTCACTGAATTTGTTCCCATTACGGATTGAATACCTTAAACACTTCCATACGAAGGTCATCCTCGACCTTGGTGTCTACCTGTCTAACTTCTGCTAAATGATGACTGCATGTCGGCATTCATGAGAGTGCATCAGCTGCTGAGTTCTGCTTTCCTGGCCTGTACTTCACTGTGAAATCAAACTGTGCCAGCTGCGAGACCCATCGTTGTTCAGTTGCACCAAGTTTACCACTTGTTTGGATTTAGCTGAGTGGGTTATTGTCTGTGATAATTTCAAATTTGGATCCAAGTAAGTAGTCCTTAAATTTTTCTGTTATGGCCCACTTAACTGCTAGCAGCTCTAATTTCGCCGAACTGTAGTTAGCATCGTTCTTCTCTGACTTCCGTAAGGTACGACTCGCATATGCAATTACTCTCTTTCCTCCCTCCTGGTTTTGCATCAAGACTGCCCCCAGTCCAAGTAGGCTAGCGTCCCTCTCTAACACAAAAGGTCTGGTAAAATCTGCATAACCAAGAATGCTGCTGGAGGTCAATCGACTCTTTAGTTCCAGAAAAGCATCTTCAGACTTCGAGTTCCATAAAGTCTGTAACTTTTCATTGGCCTTGCTCCCCTTAGACTCCTTATTTGCAACTGCAATAAGTTCATAGAGTGGTTTTGCAACCTGAGCAAAATGTTGCACAAAACGCCTATAATAGCTGGCAAAGCCTAGAAAAGAACGAAGATCTTTCACTGTTTTAGGTCTTGGCCAATCCTTCACTACCCTTATCTTCTCCGATGAAGTGGAAATCCCCTTGGCTGATACAACATATCCGAGATAACTTATCTCCTCTTGATTGATTGATTGATTGTATACTGTTTATCTCCTCTTGAAAAAAGTGACATTTCTTGGGACTTAACTTCAACCCGTGTTCAGCCAATCTTGAAAACACAACATCCAATCGCTGTAAGTGTTCATCAAGCATCTTCGAATAGACAAATATGTCATCCAAGTAAACCAGCAATATTTGGAATACAGCATCATTAAATATATGCTGCATCAGCCGTTGGAAGGATGCCGGCGAATTACAGAGTCCAAATGGCATTCTGGTGTACTCGTACAAGCCGAAAGGGGTAGTAAATGCGGTCTTGTGTTGATGACTTGGATCCATAGCTATCTGGTGGAATCCACTGGCTAAGTCGCACGTGCTGAACAAGGTAGACCCATGTAAGGCATCCAGGGACTCGTCGATGCGAGGAAGTGGGAAAGCATCACGAACAGTCTTCAAGTTCAGTCTACGGTAATCAACGCATAGTCGAATCGAGCCATCTTTTTTTCTCACAATGACGACAGGCGATGCATATGGACTTGAGCTCTTACGAATAACTCCTTTATCTAGTAGGTCCTGGATGTGTTTCTTAACCTCCTGGTATTGGTTAGGTGGGATGCGACGGTAAGGAAATGTAACTGGTGTATCATCAGTAGTGTCAATTCTATGGGTAACTGTAGTAGAATAACCCAAGTCCAAGTCATTTTGGATGAAAACACTTGAATGTTTCTTAAACAGATCTAATATCTTCTGGTACTGCTCCGCTGAATAACCAAAGTTCTTAGGGATAAGTGATTCCACATCGAAGTTAGATGACAGTTCTTCTTCCTCTATGTCGTCTTTTAAAACTATTGTCTTCTCACTAGGAGCTGTATCTAGGAATGTAACTGTAGAGTCTTGATGAGGCTCAATCACACACTCACTTACTACTCCAAGTCTACTGTTCGCTTTAATCCAGATGTCCTTGTCACCCAAGTTAGCAACTTGAACAGGATATACACTAGATTTTGATGCTGACGAAACACTGTTAATAAGAATGGCATCTTGCCTGATAGTCAAAGGTTCAATGCACACACTTTTCCCTTGTACACCACAGATGTCCTGAAGAGGTCCAACGACTCTAACCACAGAAATAGAGTTCGCAGGTATACACACATCTTCTCTACCAGCTACTCTAGCGAATCCTTTCACTTCAGAATGATTGCTCTTCTTGAAAGCCTTTATCCAGTTCTGGGTTGCACCTCTGTTCTCCCTACGGCGAATGAATGATGGACCAAACTCTTGTAGGAACAACTCTCGACACTCCCTTATCACATTCATACCAAGTAATCCAGGGATTTCCTTCCTGTCCTGAGTGTCTTTCACAATCAGAATACCAATCCCACAAATGGTACGGTTTAAGGGTTTCACAGTTATATCTGTCTCTATGTATCCCACATATGGAATCTCGATTCCATTTGCCACTCTTAGAGTAATGAGTTTATCATTTACAACTGGAATGTCATGAAGGTAGCTGTTGTAAAATGATTCGGTAATGGTGCTGACCATTGATCCTGTATCCAGAAGACACAAAATCCTCTGACCTCCAATTTCTATATCTGTGGTCGGACAACTTCCAATCAGCGAGCCATTCTCTAATTCACTTCCTATTGGCCGGCTCTCGATAATAGGCAATGCGTGTTTAAAGTTACAGTCTTTGCCTTAGGACAATTTCTCTTTATGTGTCCTGGTTCTTGACATTGGAAACACTTCCTTTCTTTTTTCTGAGTCCAGTCTTTAGTTACTGTCTTTGTTTTCCATAACTCTTGAACTTCAGATCGTAATGAAGACAGTTCATCCTTCATTTCTTTCACCATACTCATAATCGCACAGTCACTCGAAGCTGCTTCTGTGTAAACAGTGGCCTCTTTCTTGGGTGTATGTTTTGAACTGTCAGTATGTACTTCTCTATCCAAGGAAAGAACAACAGCCTCTTCTCTTAGGTTATTAAAGGTTAGAGACGGCTTTAATCTGAGTGACTTTTTCAGTTCTCGACGGAGCCATTTGTCGCACACATTCTCTGCAAA